CGTATAAAATTATGGGTCTTTTCTCATATTCCAAACCACATTTTTCTCAAATAAAATAAATTATTGATCTCAACCATACGCATTTCCTACTTGCTTCATGAATAGCTATTATCTCAGCGTGATTTGAAAAAGTAGCAACAATAAATTATTTTGTGGAGCGTCATGATATGACAGTACCTCCATATGTAAATACGTACCCGGTTTGAGATCAAGCTTTATGGGGATCAGATAAATAACCTGCATCTACACAACCAACAAGATCTGCACTATCTTTGTTAGCATAAAACAAACTCATATCAAGAGTTCCCTTTAAATATCGTAATATATGCTTAATCCCATTCCAATGTCTCCGTGTAGGAGAAGAACTATATCTTGCTAGTAAATTAACAGAAAATGCTATGTTAGGCATTGTAGCATTAGCAAGATACATTAGTGCACCAATTGCACTGAGATAGGGTACTTCGAGACCAAGGAGTTCCTCGTCCTCTTCTGGAGGTCGGAACAAATCCTTATTCACGTCAAGTAATCGAACAACCATTGGTGTACTCAATGGGTGCGCTTTATCCATGTAAAAGCGTTTTAAGACCCTTTCTATATAGGCAGATTGATGGATAAAGATCCCGTCTACTAAATGTTCAATTTGCAGATCAAGATAAAGTTTTGTCTTTCCAAGATCTTTCATCTCAAATTCTTTCTAAAGATATTCAATTGCCTTTTGGAGATCTTCTTGAATTCTAACAAGATTTATGTCATCAATAGAAACAACAAGTATAACAAATTCTGATGTCATTTTCTTTGTAAAAATACATGGACAAATAACATTATTTATGTAACGTTCTTTCAGCAAATATTTACTAAGGCGATTATACCACATGCGCCCAGATTGCTTTAAATCGTACAAAGATCTTTGTAATCTAATAGAATAAATTTCCTGAGATTTTGAATTCACTTCAGGCATTTTAAATCCTTTAGGGATTTTCATATGAATTTCATTATCAAGTGAACCGTACAGATAAGTTGTAACTACATCCATTAGATGTATTTCAAGCTTTTCATGAAGTGCTAAACTGATGAGATATCGAAATGTTATGGCATCCATAACAGGTGAATTATTTCATCAAAATCGACTCAAGATCGTTGTGAGAATCCTTGTGCAACAAGGCGAGCTTTGTATCTTTCAACTTCATTTTTATCATTCCTTTTTCGCACAAAAACCTATTTATGACCAGCTGGTTTTATACCAGCAGGTGTTTGGACTACTGGTCCAAAGACCTCTCTTTTAGCAAGTGACTTTAATTTTGATTGAATTGCCTTTTGCTATTTTGGCTAATCAGATCTTTGTCAACATTCTTCGACAGATCGAGGTTCAAGATCCTCACTATCTTGCATAATATTAAGTGCAACATTATATGCAAAAATATTATCCACCACTATTTCAGATCGATTTAAATTAATCACATCACTGGTCGAGCTTATTAAAAGTTCTTCACTCACATGAGCTTCAGGTTGATTGATTCTCTTAGGAATCTCAGAACTAATCAGATCTTGGGTCTCTTCAGGAGATCCCTTCATAGTATCATTTTGATCATTTGTCGATTTTTTTTCCCGAGGATTTCGATCCTTAGAACCCAAAGGCCTACCACACTTCAGGCGTGCTTTAAGTTCACTAGCTCTCATGCTAGTAGATGGTCCTACTGGGACATCAATTCGGATAGGCACATTCTTTGCTGAGATATGTGACTTAGTTATCCTTTTCAAATCAGTAAATGCATCTGGCATTTGATTTGCTATATTCTGTAAATGGATAATCTTCTGGACCTCCTGAGTACATATAGGGGTATGGGGATCAAAGTGAGATAATGATGAAACTTTTCACACAATTTATCTTTTGATTTCCTTTTTCTCTCCCCCTAATTGTGGAAAATTTGTTTCATCAAACCGACAATCTGTAAATCGAGCAGTAAATAAATTCCTATCAATTGTTCAAGATAGCGAATAATAGAGGGTGATTCAAACCCAACATATATTTCTATCCTTCTCTGTGGTCCAATCTTACTGCGTTGTGGTGGTGCTACTGGAACATATACAACACATCCGAAAATTTGTAGATGGACAATATTTGGTTCATGACCAAAAACTAATTATGAAGGAGAATATTTATTATAATGTGTCGGTCTGAGACGGATAAGTGATGTTGCATGCAAGATAGCATGACCCCAAACAGTAGTGGACAATGTTGTTTTCATAAGTAGTGGTCTTGCTATCAATTGCAGACGTTTAATAAATGACTCTGCAAGGCCATTTTGAGTATAAACATAAGCTACAATATGTTCAACTTTTATCCTAACTGATAGACAATAATCATAAAAAGTTTGAGATGAGAATTCTCCATCATTATCAAGGCGAATAGCCTTTATAGGATAATCTGAGAATTGTGCCCTTAATCGAATTATTTGGGCTAATAGCTTTTCAAACGCCAGGTTGCAAGATGATAGTAGGCACACATGAGACCATCTTGAAGATGCATCTATTAGGGCCATAAAATATCTAAACAACCCACTTGGTGGGTGAATGGGTCCACATATATATCCATGTATACGCTCTAAAAAGCCAGGGGATTCAAAGCCAACCTTCATTGGTGATGGTTTAGTGATCATTTTTCCTTTATAACAAGCATCACAAGAAAAATCGTCATTTGTAAGAATCTTCAGGTTCTTTAATGGATGCCCACTCGAATTTCCAGTAATTCGTCTCATCATTATTGATCGAAGATGGCCCAAACGGTCATGCCAAAGCACAAAAGTATTTGAATCCGTAAACTTCTGGTTTACGATAGAGTGTGCTTCAATTGTACTAATTTTTGAATAGTATAAGCCAGAAGATAAAGTTAGTAACTTTTCTACAATGCATTTCTGACCAGAAATAGTCTTTGTAATACAAAGATATTCCCTATTCATTTCATCTATTGTCTCACATGATACCAATTTCGGTGGATATCTATAAAACTCAATAAGTTTTTTCTGGACTTGGAGGAGAACAATGCATTGTCTATAATAAGTTTTGTTCTCTTAGACAGAAATACAATGGCTCTTCCGGAGCCTTCAATCAAACTTATATTACCTGAAATTGTATATTTGCTTTTTCCTTATGCAAATAAGAAAAGTATTTCTGATCCTTGAATATGACATGAGTTGTTCCACTATCAATAACACAAATATCTTTGTGATTTGTCTTTGATCCAAACATAATTTGAAGATTATCCATATTCTTCAAAATGACATAAATAAAATATATTATAATAAATATCATTATCAAAGCATAACTTTTATTTATGTACAACAATTACATAACCATACTATCTATTACAAACAACAAAAATTAAAATATTATATTTCTATAAATTCACTACCGATTACATGACTTGTTTCTCATTCTGGGAGTGCAAAGTAATCAGCTAAATCCAAATGCATGAAGTCTAAATTATTTTGAGAAATAAAATTTGCTTCAACATTTTTCTCTATCTTCTTTAGGGAGGCTTGCTAAAGCTCAATCATGTGCTTTGGCGTACGACATGTACGTGACCAGTGCCCTTTTCCTCCACATCTATAGCATGCATTTTCTGCATTTGGTGCTTGCACCGCTTCATGCTTTTGTTCCTTCCTTTTCCACTGTTGGTGGTGAGGAGGCTTCTTTGGTGCATTATTATTACCATGATTGGGGTTTCTTCCTCGACCAAGACCATGACCACGACTGGGGCCACAACCTCTTCCACGTTTAGCTTGGTGGAAGTTCGTCTCATTCACTTTAGGAAATGGACAAGAATCAGTAGGTCGGCTTTCATGGTTTTTCATTAATAGCCCATTATGTTGCTCGGCTATAAGAAGACGTGAGATAAGTTCAGAATACTTTTTAAATCCCATCTCTCGATATTGTTGCTGCAGGAGCATATTCGAGGCATGAAAAGTGGTAAAAGTTTTCTCCAACATATCATGGTCAGTAATATTATCACCACATAATTTCAATTGGGAAATAATTCTGAACAAAACAGAATTATACTCACTGATAAATTTAAAATTTTGTAGCCTTAGATGAGTCCAATCATATCGTGCCTGTGGAAGAACGACCATTTTTAGGTAGTCATATCTATCTTTCAAATTATTCTACAGTATGATTGAATCTTTAATAGTAAGATACTCCATTTTCAGGTCCTCATCAAGGTGATGACGTAGGAATATCATTGCTTTGGCACGGTCTTGGTTTGATGCCTAATTTTTGTCTTTGATGGTGTCTGCCAGACCCATCGCATCAAGATGAATTTCAGCATCAAACACCCAAGACATGTAGCTTTTGCCCGATATATCCAGGGCTACAAATTCAAGTTTAGAAAGATTTGACATTATTTAGGAAAAGAAAGATCGTACCTCTAATACTTTCAAAGTATTTACTCGAGATGACAAAGTCTCGTACTGATAACGTGTTATAAAATAAAGATTGTAAAGTAAAGACAAGTATAAAGAGAAACTGATATATTATTCGAATTCAAACTGATGTACATAATGAATTGAAATCTCTTCTATTTATAGAAGAAAGGAAGCTGCTGTATAAACTGCTACTGCAAGCTGCTGTGTAAGCTGCTACTATACCAGATATGGATAATCTTCTACTGAGAGCAATGTTTATCCATAACGGATTACTGAATGGATAAGCTCATTGTATCCAGTATATATAATCTTCTACTAGGGGCAATGATTATCCATAACAAAGTACTGAAAGGATAAGCTCATTGTACCCGGTATGGATAATTTTCTACCGGAAGTAATGTTTATCCATAATCGGGTACCGAAGTGATAAGCTTCTTAAGAAAACTTATTTCCAATAGAATACTAAATAGATAAACATATTTACGGCGAATTATCATATGTATAAGCTTCTTTAGGAAACTTATTTATAACAGAGTACTAAATAAACATCTATAATATAATATATTTATAACAAAAAGACCTTTAAGAATTTGCTTAGTTAAAAATATTGTTGAAAATTCTATGGTTGAACCCCTAAGGAAGTTTAGGTTCAACAAAACCTCCCACGGGTCCTCGTCTATTTATGCATCTCTCTTTTTCCTACCATTTCATTTCCTTTTCTCTTCCCATATATAAAACCAAACCATTTCGTTGGACTTATTTACCTCGGCTTGAAACCCCTTCTCCATCTACTCTTATCAACTCTTTATGGCATTTAAATCAACTACTTCTAACTGAAAAAATAGAATTCCAATCCCACACAAAAATGAAAATCTTCTTCACTTTCTTCATCTTCCTTTCTCTTTTCGCATTCTCATCAAAATCAGAATCCACTTGCAAAAATAACACAGATTTATCTCTAGTTTCAAAGGCTTTCAGCTCTGTTTATGGCTTCAATATCACTTGGTTCAGCTCAAACTGTTCCCCTACCATTCCAATAACTGTGATAAAGTTATCTTCAAGAAATCTAACTGGCACAGTCTCATGGAAATACTTAAGAAATTTGTCACATCTTCATACTGTAGATCTCTCAAACAATTCCTTAAAAGGTTCTGTTCATCCTCTGTTTTGGTCAATCTCATCTTTGGTTGAAGTCAACTTATCCAAGAATAAGCTAGGGGGAACAATTGCTGTAACTAGTTCATCTCATATTCAAAGACTTGATCTTTCTTTCAACAGGTTTACCAACTTGGGCTCTACTTTTTATGGTTTTCCTAATCTCACTTCTCTTGACCTTTCACATAATGATCTCAAGATTTTGCCTTTTTGGTTCAACAACCTAACCAAGCTTGAAAATTTGAGCATTTCTAGTTGTAACATTTATGGCAATCCAAAACCAATTTCACATATCAAGTCACTGAAGCATTTAGATGTTTCTTTCAACCACATGAATGGTACATTTCCTAATGATTTCCCTCCTATTTCCAGTCTCAATTTCTTGAATATCTCATTCAATAACTTTACTGGACTAATACCTCAAGACCAGTTTGCAAAATTTGGTAACTCTTCTTTTATTCATGCTGGCCATTTGCAAACCAAGAACGTAAAATTACCAAATCCCAAGAATTCCTCAGAATTTCACATCAAACATCATAACTTCACAACCCCACCACACAAAATGTTGCCTATCAAACAGAAACCTACTAAACCAATGGACAAAAACACCAAGAGAAAGAAACCCAAATCAAGAAAGAAAGTTTTAATCATAGCCATTTCAGCTGCTTCTGCATTTCTAATCTTGGCCATAGGGTCAGTCATATTGTGTCTCTACAAGAGGAGAAAAACAGTGGCTAGGAAAAACAAATGGCTAATCTCAAAACCAATTCAAATACCATTCAGAATGGACAAGTCAGGGCCATTTTCATTTGAGACAGAGTCAGGAAGTTCGTGGGTAGCTGACATAAAAGAACCAAGTTCAGCACCAGTTGTGATGTTTGAGAAGCCATTGATGAACTTTACATTCAAGGACCTCATAGCAGCTACATCTCACTTTGGGAAAGAATCATTGTTAGCTGAAGGGAGGTGTGGGCCCGTTTACAGAGCCGTACTTCCAGGTGACCTCCACGTGGCAATTAAGGTCCTGGAGCATGCTAGGGAACTAGGTCATGATGATGCTATTGCTTTGTTTGAAGATCTGTCAAAGCTTAAGCACCCTAATCTGTTGCCTATTTCCGGTTTCTGCATTGCAGGTACAGTTTTCTTTCTCTTCTTCACTTTCCTTTTGACCATTTTCAATTTTACATGCAGGGGTCAGTAGAAAATCTGATACTCCCTCCGTTTTAATTTATTTGAACTTATTTCCTTTTTATTCTGTGCAAAAAAAATGACCCATTTTTTTTATTTGGAAATAATTTATCTTTATGCATTGATTTATAACCACACAAAATATATGTGCCTCATTTTACACCACAAATTCAAAAATCTTCTTTCTTTTCTTAAACTTCGTGCTCATTCAAATGAGTTCACCGTAAATTAAAACGAATGGAGTATTATTTTATAATATTGTGTCTGATGGGGTGAAATGCTAAATATGTGGCACTCTTTAAATGGGGTTCCCCCTTATTTTCAGTAAGGAAGAAAAATGGAGAAATTTTTTGTGTGATATTTAAGGGAGGATATTTGAGGACTTGAGGCGGAACCATATTAAATGTATTAACGTGGAGGATGAGAGGAGAAAGAGTACAGTCAGTAGTGAGTAATGAGACAGAAATCTTTGCAACCATAGAAACGTAAGCAGTAGTTATGATAACAAGCAGTAAATAGGAATGCGTGAATAATTTGGATGTTAGTACTATGAGTACAACATTACATTTGAAACTGCTTTAAATGCTTTGTAAATTGTGTCCATTTTTACCCAACAAAGTCAAAAAATTTGTATTATATGTCTCATGCAAAGACAACTTTTTTTATTTTACAGTTTTATGAATCTAAATTTATCGTGAACCTAGAAGTGTAAGATTGAGAATCATAAATTTGTAAGACAACAATTAGTGTAAATTATAAGAACACAAATAAAACTTCTCAACAAAGTCAAACTTTCAAATCTTATGCCAGATTGGGATTTAAAAAAAATTGAACTGTAAACGTCATTTATGATAATGCTCTTTGTAACTTGTGTCCATTTTGACATAACAAAGCCAAAAGTTTAAAATCTTACCAGATTGGGAGGATGGGTGTTGAACTGTCCAACCTTATTTTATGATTTTGGAAGAATGTTGCATAAATGTTTTCCATAAATTATATTTTCTTGGAGAACCTTTTTTTAAGCATTAATGGTTCCAAAAGAATGTTTTATTCAATTGAAAATGTCTTAAAGTTGGAAAGCTAGAGTAGAATTAAACAGTTAAGCCGCCAAATTTGTTCTCTACATTATTTATGATTGGAAAAATTATTTCATGACATGCAGCAGTTGATTGTACAATCAAACTCGTTGTAAATAATATTGAAGAAAAGTTGCTCCATTTGAAAAGAACAGAAACAAGGAATCCAAATTATTGATCCTTTCTATCATATCATATTTAAAGCTAATTTAATGTTCCCCTTGACGCAGGGAAAGAGAAGCTAGTGTTGTACGAGTTCATGGCTAATGGTGACCTCCACCGATGGCTACACGAGCTTCCAACTGCTGCCACAAACGTGGAGGATTGGACTACTGACACGTGGGAGCAGCAAAATGGGTCCCATCTGACATCACCGGAGAAAATGGAATGGCACACGCGCCACCGCATTGCGGTTGGCATAGCGCGTGGACTAGCCTACCTCCACCACGCTCAGTCAAAGCCGGTGGTTCACGGCCATTTGATACTGTCTAATATCTTATTGGCCGATGACTTTGAACCTCGAATAGCCGACTTTGGACTGAGTCACGACCGAGTCGGTGGATCTACTGAGAAGGATGTGTACGATTTTGGAGTCGTACTGGTGGAGTTACTAACCGGAAAAGCCGGTTCGGATGACACGATCAAGTGGGTGAGAAGGCTAGTGAAGGATGGACATGGAGCGGATGCGCTTGACTCGAGACTAAGACTCGGTGGCGACTCAGTGAGTGGGATGGTGGAGTGCCTCCGAGTTGGATATCTGTGTACGGCGGAGAGCCCAAATAAGCGACCTAGAATGCAGCAAGTTTTGGGGTTGGTAAAGGACATACACCCCACCAACTCGGAACTCATTTGAGTTGACTCAATTCAACTCGGTAACTGCTAACATCCTAATCTCTAAGCTACCACTCTCACCGCAGCGCGTGGTGGCACGACGAGGAAATACTGGCTGGCAGCATTGAATTATTGTACTCCCCATGTGTTTGATTGACCTCTGAAGAGTCAACAGTACAAGACATCTCTCCACTAAGGTTTCCACTCAAGGGCATTCGGTCACGTGCATGTCACGTGTTTTCATTGTCAGGAAGATGCACTTCAAAATCTAGTGAGAGGGACATGTTTGCTTGGTTGTCTAAGTTTATTCGTCTTACTATTCTCCTCCTTCTCTTTTTGTATTTTGTATATCAAATTAGAGATAAAAAAGAATTTGCACAAAAATATGCGGGTAAAGCTTGGTTTTGACAGAATATTTATTATTTTTGTTTGGTTTAATCAAAGAGTCGTATTGTATTTGAAGTGGAGCAGAGAAACCAGAGAATCCCACTTATTGCTTGTCTCTTCTAAGGGGCATTAGCATCATCAACTCCTTTAGTTTTCTACTCTTTTTTATCTTTAATTTAAACATTTCTTGTTCGTTTGTTCTTTTCCTTTTTCATTTGTTGCTTTATTCCCTTTAATTTTTATAGGAGCAGTCTTTAATTTTGCAATAGAGGACAAAAGGTAGTGATGAGTATCTAATAAAGTGGTTTAGAACAATCTTTCCTAAAGTGATTGGATCAAATATTGAACCAATGAAGGTATCCCATGAGGACTTTTAATTCTATCTTATTTCACTACATTTAACCTTTGCAGCATTTGGATGCCACCAAGGCCACATGGGGTGCCTTTAATTCTTCAAAAAAAATCAAAAAAAAAAAAAAATCAAGGATTTGAAATATTAATAGTCAATTTTGTAGGCCAAAATTCCACTCTATCAACTAGCACATTATTTTGACCTGTTCTCAATGGCAGACAGTATACTAAGCATTGATTTATCCTTTCTTCATTCTCTTTTTGTTTTAAAATTTTGGGATAAAAATCCAAAAGAATCATATTTGAACAATTAACAAATAGAAATAGATAAAACATGATTGAGAGATCGAAGAAATTGAGGTAAAAGATTATCCATTGGCTATTGTATGGGTCCAAATTTGACCGATCATGACCGACGACGAGTATGACGATTGACGGAGTCTCCTCGAATTGATGCCCTGAGGGAGACGATCCTGAAATAAACCAGAGACGGGACGACCCTTGTAATAATGTATGGCCATCAGGGGACATTTGAAATATTCCTTGTATTTTGTCTCCTACAGTTTAGAAGAGTTTCTCTTTTAGTATAAAAGTAGGACAATAACCTTGTAACTGACATTCAACACTCTGGAGACATTACTATTTATGAATGAAAAGAAACCTCGTGACCTATCTTCACTTTGTCTATCGATCTTTCTAGAGATTATTATCCTCAGCTAAGATTTACCCTTCATCTTTGATTGATTTGCTCAAAAAAGTTTTAATATCTTTTGAGTCAAACAATTTGGCTCCGTTTGTGGGGATTTCTATAGCTAAAATTATAGTTTTCATCTAGATTCTTGAAAGACATAATCACCTTTCTTCAGCTCCATAAAAGCCAACGATGGCGGGAAAAGGGAGAAGCGAGGCTAAAGACAATAGAGGGTGTCACAAACAACCTCCTGAATTCCCTCAACGAAGCCGGAGGAGAAGACAGGGAGAATGCAACACCAAGTGTTACACCTGAAGGAGAGATCTCACCTCCTCCGCACGGGGATCTAACGATCTTGCGCGAGAGGGAAACCTCAACATCCGCAGTAGGAGAAGCGCCACCGGCTATCAAAAGGCTACTAGAAGAATGGTTAACGAGTACCTTAAGCAACATGCTCGAGAAACCCATTCAGGGAGGTGTCGAAGACGCGCTACCCACAGAAACCGTAGCTGCTGCCGATGAGTCAAACTCTACACGAACAGGTAACGCCCGTACTGTCACTGATACAGGCAACGACACACTCACGACCATCTTAAAGAAAATGGAAGAGATGAAAAATGAGAACAAAACACTCTGCGACCAGATGAAGGAACATCAGGAGAGGGTTGATAAAATACCAGGCACTCCAAAGTTGTTACCAAAATGCGATGTGGTCTGATTCGTCGAACAACCATACAACGAAGAGGCAACTCCCCATTCTAATCTAAAGACTTTCAAAATGCCGCCATATTTGAAAATATATGATAGGACCACGAACCCGGAGGATCACTTAATCCATTATGTTATTGCAGTAAAAGGTAATGATCTATCAAAAGAACAGGTATCGTGCGTGTTGCTGATAAAGTTCGGCGAAACTCTGATGGGGGGAGCATTGATATGGTATTCCCAACTACCAGCACGATCGATATCGATGTTCGAAGAAATGGCAGATAAGTTCATCACCACTCACGCGGGAGCGAAAAAGGCCGAGGCTAGGGTCAATGATATCTTCGCCGTTAGGCAAATGACGGGCGAGGGACTTCGGGATTTCCTAACCCGATTCAATACAGTAAGGATGAGCCTACCAAACGTGTTAGAAGGGATGGCAGTAGAAGCCTTTCAAAAGAAGTTAAACAGAAATGGATCAAAAGCGACGAAAAAACTACTCAGTAGACTCATGAAGTACCCCCTACCACGTAGGAAAGATCCACAACGCCTATTGCGCCGAAGTGAGGGTAGATGAGTACGACCTGAACGGCCCGCTTCAGCGATTAACATCAGTCCAGACCGAGACCAGGAGAGATCGACGTAACGACGGGCGAACGGATCAACTGCCACGTTTCAATCGAGAAAGGCATCAGCCCTATAGCCGAAAACCCAATCTGCCTTCTCCACGATATGTGGATGTCACGCCCCGACACATTGCACCCCTCCGAAACGAAAGAGGTATGCCTCCATTGCTATCTGCTCATAATTTTTGTGTTTCTCCTTCAGAGATAGTGTACACACTGGAAAAACTTGGCACAAAGGTGCAGTTGCCGCAAAAAATAAATCAGATCCGAGCAACAGGAGGTCAAACGTCTTGTGTGAATTCCACCAGGAGAGAGGACACAAAACCGAACACTACATAGGCATGCGACAAGAAGTAGTGAGGATGTTAAACGAGGGATACCTGAAAGAACTGCTGAGCGATAAAGGACGAACCAACTTCGCTTGTGGACGCGACCAACATCAAGGACCTCCGAAGCCACCATCACCAGCTCGTACCATACAGATGATCATTAGCGGTGGCGATGATACGGTAATCAACCACGTAAAATTCACCACCACACATAAACTTAAGTGGACAATTGCCCACGAACGGTATGACGACCTCGAAGACAGTATTATCTTCGATAAGTCGGATACCGACGGTTTGTCTTTCCCTCACTATGATGCTTTAGTTATAACTTTATGCATTGCGGATACCGATTTAAAAAGAATAATGGTGGATGACGGAAGCGGCGCATGTATTGTTCACCCACGAGTTCTCGTGCAAATAAGACTCGAGGATAAAATAATATCGTATTGCATATCACTAACGGGTTTTAATAATGCAGTGGAGCGAACATCTGGAGAAATAGGGCTACCCGTCCTGGTCGGAGGGGTCACCCTGTAAATGACATTCCATGTTTGAATCAGGAACAACCTATAACGCCATCATAGGACGTCCATAGATACACGCCATGCGAGCCGTCCCGTCAAGTTTTTACCAAGTAATCAAATTTCCCACCCCATGGGGAATATTCAGCATCTGAGGCGAGCCACGCACCGCCCAATAATGCTACCGGATCACCCAAGATTGCACACATACCAAACAACTAAACGGGGCAAGTGCGGAGGCATAACAATCAGCCATGTCGGGAACCATACCCGACATACAAGTAGAAGCCATCAAAGACTCGGACATCGTAGAAGCTTGCAAGGCAACTGTAGAGGATCTCGATCCCGTGCAGTTGGACAATATCGATAATACTAAAAAGGCTTATGTTGGACACAACCTCTCGGATCCAAGTAAATATCGTGAGTTTTTAACTAACAAAGTCAATTTATTTGCCTTTTCCCACTCAGACATGCCAGGAATCCCAAGGGAGATCGCCACACACAGGCTGGATGTCGATCCACTTCATCCGCCGGTACGACAAATAAGGAGAAAGTTCAATGCCTCCATCAATGAGGCAGTCGGCAAGGAGGTTGATAAATTACTCGCTAACAGTTCTGTCAGAGAGTGAAAATACCCCTAATGGGTCGCCAATGTGGTCATGGTAAAAAAGAAGAACGGGAAATGGCGGATGTGTGTCGACTTTACCGACCTGAACAAAACGTGCCCGAAGGACTCCTTTCCATTGCCCCACATCGACCAGCTCATCGATGCGACAACGGGGCACAAACTATTGAGCTTTTTGGACGCCTACTCCGGTTATAATCAAATTTTAATGGTTGAAGAAGATCAAGAAAAGACAACCTTCATCACTCACCGAGGGACATATTGCTATAAGGTAATGACGTTCGGATTCAAGAACGCAGGGGCCACATATTAAAGACTAGTTACCAAGATGTTCAAAGAATAGCTCGACAAGACCATGGAAGTTTACATCAATGACATGCTAATAAAGTCGACAAAGAAAGAGGACCATATCGGCCATCTGAAGGAGGCCTTCGAGATATAAGGTAATATAGAATGAATTTGAATCCCGAAATATGTGCCTTTGGCATAACTTTAGGAAAGTTCCTTGGTTTCCTAGTGTCACAAAGAGGTATCAAGGTCAATACGGATCAGATCAGGGCCATCGACGCAATACCGGAGATACTGACCAGCAAAAAGCAGGTGCAAAAATTGACAAGACGAGTAGCCGCCCTATCGAGGTTCATTTCACAGTCCTCAAATAGATGTCACAAATTCTTCAACATGCTAAGAAAAGACCATAGACTGCAATGGAATGAAGAATTTGTCGACGCCCTAAGAAAACTGAAAGCGTATCTATCTTCGCCACCACTACTCGTCAAAGCGGACCCGGGAGAATGTCTACTTGTGTATCTAGCAGTTTTTGAAGTTGGGTAAGCACCGTCTTGGTCCGTGAAATGAAAGTACACAATATCCGATTTACTATATTAGCAAGACCTTAATCAATGCCGAAACAAGGTACCTACACCTTGAAAAACTAGTTTTGGCATTAGTCGTCGCTTCACGAAAGCTTAGACCGTATTTTCAATGTCACCCCATAAAAGTGGTGACAACCTTCCCCCTCAGAGGTATCCTACACAAACCCGTACTATCGGGTAGACTGGCCAAATGGGCCATAGAATTAAGCGAGCATGACATAACATACCAACCATGAACTGCCATTAAGTCGTAGGTGCTCGCCGATTTTGTCGCTGATTTTAGCGCAGAAATATTGCTTGAAGTAGAATAGGAAGCGCCCCGCACTTCCACGCATACCGACCTCTGGGTCCTTTACACCGATGGTGCCTCTAACGTCTCGGGATCGGGACTGGGACTCGTCCTCGAAGTCCCTACAGGC